TCATACTGATTTCTGTGTTTGAGATAAAAGAAGCGTATATTTAAAATAGAGAAGAATTTAAAATGAGAAGCAGGCTTTCTGCCAAGTGACTTTAACGATAATGTTTTTCAGCATTTTCCCTTTCGGTCATAGATCACTTTTATTCCGAGAAATAATAATAAACTGCCGTATGATTGCTTTTACATTTATGTTCGACTATTCAATGAAATCTGGTTCTCTTATTGAAATTACGAACATTTACAAAAATTCCTGCGGAGTTACGAGTTTCAACACCTGAGCCGGCAAGCGGGCTTTTGCCAGTGCTTAAATAAAAACGGCAAATACAAGCATTGAGAAGATTCGGGGTGGAGAGTGGGATGGGGAATGAATCAATCGCGCTTCCTGTCTCGAGATAGCCTCTTCTTTATAAATGAGCGGAGTAAGGAGGGAAGAGACGAGTTCGGAGGCTGCAGTTTAGATATTCACCGGTTGATTACGGTCCCGATGGGGTCGGGGGGCTCGGCTCCGGTAGGGAAATCCTCGGGGGAGGACGCTAACTCGACAACTGACAAATTAGCCCAGCGCACCGACGACACTTGCAAAATAGGTCGACAAGAAGATGCCCCGTTTCGGTTTGAATTCGACGAGCCCGCCAGATGAGATTCGCGCAGCTAGTCGTCGAACTCAATTTTACTCGTCGACAGGGTGAATGATACGCCGGCGGACACCGGTTATCGGTCACACGAAATTAACTCTAAGCCCAACAACAATGCACAATGATCAATTCGAGTATATGATATTCAGATCGATCGAATAATAATCGGCACGAATTTTTAGTAACTATTACGCTTGACATCATAAGATTATATTTTTAGGTATTATATATTATATAATATGATCTCTTGAATGTATCCGTTACTAGTAAGGGTACCTTCTTGAAATATTCAAACGCAATCGTGCTACTGGAAAATCGACGGAAATCAAAATTGACGTTTCTCCAGGGGCGGAGACGCGTTTGCGATTCTGTGGAGCGGTTCCTTCGACGTGCGGACCCGTGGTTTTTTTCAAGTTCAGGAAATTCCTCGTTGGCGGCTAAGTGAATTGGAAATAAAAAAAAGAGAGAGCGCCGCGCAGGTCGGATAAATAACGTCCGTCGGCGATGTTCGCGCGGGATGATGTCGCGCCGGCAATACTTTTCACATCGCCTCGGCACGAGGTAGGGGGATTGTTATTCGTGCGGCGTAGTGCCTCGGTGTCGCTTTCACTAGAGTCGGTTACTGATAAACGAGCGGTTTCAACCCCACGCGTCGCCCCCTGAATGTAAACTCACCCTGCCTGCTCGACGCGCTTTAAGCTCTTAGCGCGGGTAAACGCCCGGTGTAAATCGTTTTCGAACGTAAACGATTGTCGACGACAGACCTGAAATTAATCGCCGTGATTCTGGTCGCCGAACGCTGAAAATGATTCTGCGGGCGCATCTTGGAGTGGAAATAAATCCGCAGGCATTACGATGTCAGCCACTAAATTGAAAGCATAATTAAATTAAAACGCATTAAAATGAATTTAATATAATTTCTTCATTATTTCTAATCATTCCTCTGCTGTCGCTTACATTTATTACAGATCCAAAAATATATATAATGGCACATTATTAAAAATGTTCAATTAATAAATCAATAATACTGCTATCACAATTTTCTTTCTATCATCATATAAGAATATCTTATTCAGAATTATATATAATCCATACAATAACGATGATAGATAAAGATTTTATTAAATAGGTTATTTTAGTTGATTTTTATCTATTATTTTAAATGCTAATTCTGAAAATAAGGTTACGCAATTTAATTTTACGAACTTTTTTTACATAATCGACATATATTTATTTAAAAATGTATACATTTTAAACTACATTTAGCTAACAATAATTCCTTGGAATCTTATTCTTAATTAAAATGATTTATTTTTGTTTGAAGCCTTTAATAATGAATCGAAAATTATATTAAATTCAATATTCCCTTTGAATGATTTATTTCGAAGCAGAAGAAATGAGTAGAGAAAGAGCAATTTTTAATACATGTCACTCAAAAATCTAATTTTTCTCATAAATTTGCAAACAGATTTGAAATCAGCGCAAAAAATATTATTAAAAAAAACACTCCATCAGTAAATTACCGCAATATATCAATTTATAACATTTTTAAATGCATATTGTTAAAAAACCATTGCCATTTTCATAAACTTGTCAAATGGAATTGAAATCTGAAATTGAAAGAAATATTATAATAAAATACCCTATCGGATTAATTTAATATAAAGAAAGTAAAACTTTGTCAACCAGTATTAATTGTAATATGTATAATATAATAATTTAATAAAGTACGAAATCGCGTTCTAGAAGCGTATAAGTAAAGCTTCTGTGGGGTTGTACAAAAAATATGTATCATCCTATCTCATCGTCCAGACCGTTCTCCGGCAATCCCTAATAGCATTCGTCTCCGGCAGAGTCGGGATTTACGAGCGGCGGCGGGCAAGACGTCGTATGCGACGAATCGCACGACAAAACCCAATGGCGTGACCCGTGTACGTGAGCGGCCGAAGGTGGAACATCACGTTCTCGTACGAGTCCCCCCAGGGAACGATGTCTCAAACGACCATGCGGGACCCAAAACGCACCTGTGCTGAATTCCTACACCGGGAAAAGTGCTGTCCTATCGCCTATATACTTCCGACCGAACGAAATCTTTCCAGTCGCGCACGTATAAAACGATATAAGTTTGTCATAGCCAATTTATACAATTGGCATTGCGATGCGACACTCGCTATTTGGCGCTGGGGACCCACGAATTTATGGCTGATGTACCGCCGCGCCTCGATCACATCCCCTTTTCGGCTATAGCGTGCCTTAATTTCGTTCGCTCGTAGAAAAATAAATATTTGTATTTTAGAACACGAGAGAAGTACTTGAAGCAATAAAAAGGATTTTATCTAAAATATTGTATATGTGTTAATAAATTAAATAAATTCGAGGTAATTTTTTATAACATATAAAGTTAACATTAGAATATTGTTACCAATGCTTTGATTTACTAAAAGGACGAATAAATTATTTTTAAAATAAAAAAAGCAATGAAAAATTCTAAATATTTCATCAATATAAAGAACAAAATTATTGAAAAGTAAAAAATATTTTAGAATTTTTTATACAAATATGATGTTAACGTAAAGAATAGAAATGGTCAATATTAACCTCTCGGTACTTCTCTAGAATACAGTTATACTATAGTGATAGTATAATTGTAATAGTTATTGATCATAATCAAGTCATAATCAAAATATAACAATTGCATTAATAAAGATAATATACGAAATCAAACGTTTATCCTTCATCTTCACTGCCCTTATTCTGCTTACATTGTGGAGGACGATTGGTATTCAGTCCGGCGGAACCCTTGGTTTCATGTAACAGCATCGGGGACATGTGTCAGCTAGGACGATTGGTAGTGAGGGTCGGAAATGGCTGTTTAAAATTGCATCTACGGCCTACCGTTAAGGGCACGTGCGCTTTTTAATGTCCCGAGGAATGCTTACGATAATGTCCTTTAAGCTTTTATTAACGGTTATCAAAGTACGTGGCCCGAATGGCCATGGCTATTCTCACGCGACAATGTGAGCCAACCTCGATCCTTTATCCATAACATTCTTGCACAGTCCTTTATCTTATTTTCGATCGAAACTACTTATACGCGAGAAGTTTCAAATATTAGTCATCTAACTTTTATATTAAGTAATACATTTTTGGACGAGTTAAATTGAAAGAGAGATACGTTAAATTTAGTAGCTAATAATAAATAAACGTAAAAATAGATGACACTTTCTTCATGGCTGCGTGACACCGAATAGTACGCGTGTGCGATCTTTCTGCTCATCTTTGATCCATTATGCCATTAACGGCGCCGGAGGGTCTCTCGTGTCTCATGGGAAGAAAAGTTTTGCCAATGATTAACCGAAGTCTAGTTCGTGCTTTTGTTCAGTCAACTTGCCTCTATAGAGTTGTTAAGAATAATTAAGACTTAACACAAGTCAATATTTTTTACTATAAGCCGAGTGGTAATTCATGTTCGTCATAAATAAATTGTGATGTAACATTAATAAAATAAATAAAAAGTGTGTAAAGAGAAAAATAATACATCGATATAAGTTTTACAAATAATATAAGTTTTACATATAATTTAATTAATTAATAATATTTAATTAATGTAAATTTAAAATCTACTTAAATTAATTAATAGTTTTATTGATAAACTATTAATTACAGAATTTTTGTAATTTATTGAACATAAATAGTGATTATTTCAGTTTAAATTATGATACTTTAATTTCCTCACACAGAGAAAAGTTTCTTCCTTCGAAAAAAATAAAATAATAATTTTTACAATTAGCCTTATAACAAATAAAATTTTATCATTGCAACGATAAATCAACGCAATATTGCCTTCACTCGCATTTCTATTCAACGATAAACAAAATACGGTAAATCAAACGAAAATGCAGGCAGGAGACTGGAGAAGTGGGCTCCGTCCAGCTCTGTCTCGGTGAAAAACAATCTGACAAGCTTGTCAATAAGATCCTTTAGTAATCGTGGATCGTCAAACAGATTCAGGAAAATTTACCATCAAAATTCAACTAGTATAATTTATATCAAACTATGTACATGTGTTCTTCGTATTCGAGGGGTGCGATGCTGCGGCGACAGTGCAACCGAACTGATGTCGTACGAGGGTTACTTAAGTTTAAAGCCCGAAGGAATTTATTTGCCGGTTAGTCACCCTAAATGTCAGTGCAATCACGCGTCACTATCACAAATACATGATGTGTTGTAAAATACCATGCATTTGATCCTTCAAATTAGAAATGGCATTTATAATACAAAGTTTTTGTTTACGCAGCATCCGCTTTGCATATTAACGAGAAAAATGTTGGCGAACGAGATGGATTCTTCACTTGGTTGAAGGACATTTTTAATAAATCCGCAGGTAAGCCGCAATGCTGATGTCATTTTTGGAACAGAGGTTATTTTTGCCATTCACTGTTACGTAATGTATGTTGTATAATATGCAAAAATTAAATCATACAATTCATGATATTGCACGTGTGTTTCTGACTAACTATTAATTTATTAAAACAATAATTACACAAAAATAATGTAATTTATAATAAAATGTTTTTCTTTATCCTAGGATAATTTAATTATTTATTCTGCTATTATATTTCGATTTAATATATATGTATTTTATATTTTTATACAATAAAATGTGATATAATACTATACAGGTAAAATTAAATTATAATTAAAACAAGTTATTAGAAGATCTGCATATTTTGTTTTTGAAAAAGTTATAATACAAAGACTCTAAATTTTATCACGTAATACCAGATGATGTGAGTGGATGAAATATCATGTTGCAGAGGATAAAAGCCGCAAGGCTGACACCGCGATCGTCGATCGTGCAGCTACGGCAACAACATTCAATCGATCAGAAATGCGGCTGGCGAATTCTTCGGACAAGGTCGACGTCGTTAATCAAAAACTGGCTAACTTTTGCACGGCGCGATCGACGACAAAGTTCGAGTATGAGAACATCCTTGCTGAGAAGCGTGACGCGGAGAACGGCGGACGTGCGTACACGATTCAACAGTCAGCAATCTACACTGCGTCGCAGTCGAATCGTTTTGCGGCTGGAAAAACTTTCGAACGCGAGATAGAACCTGACTCTTTACGGCGCGATCCTGGCAAGATGTATCGATCCGAGAGAAACTGCGGCGCGATCGAATTTGCGGCAAGAGACGATCTCGACGTGGCCTCGCATTATCGTTGTTACACGAGCCCGAGACACTGTTATCGCCTGCCACCGCAGCGGACGAAACAGCCGCTGATGGGATTGTGCATCCCGAATAGATACATCGACATGCCAACGCGCGCGTTCGTGGGTTTCGCTCCTTGGAACACAAAGCCACCTATCAAAGAGCCTAACGTGGCCGAAAAGCGCGAGAAGAAGGACGAAAAGAAGGACAAGAGGGAGAAGAAGAAGAAGCCGGCAATACGTACGGATGGCGAATTCGGCGATAGTAGCGAGAACCAAGCGGAGATGGTGGCGAACGATAACCTGAGGACTGACCCCGGCGCAACGTTTCGTTACGAGGAGGGCGTGAACGATAACGATAAGTTCGCCGAAAAGGGCCGGCAATACGTCAAGCGGCTTTGGGGAGTGAACTTGAAACCGAAGCCGGATATCGCTTCGTCGGCAACCGCGAGTTCTGAGCGAGGCGCGGAGAACCCTCGAAACGCCTCTTCGAACTCTGAGAGTGGCGATACCACGACCGATGGAGCAAAGACCGACGCTGTCCCAACGTCGAACCTGAAGGGTACAATCGCGGATTATCTCTCGACTTCGTCGCGTCAGACCGACTCGAGCGACGATATTATTGCAGCGCGACAAGATAGCGACGATGCGAGCTTGTACATGAATTCTGAGGAGCTCCGAAAAATCATGACGACATCGCCGAGCATATTGAAGGAAAAGATAATCGATCAAGAGTACAACATTCCGGAAGGAGCAGATCAGGACATCGAGATCAGGGCCTGGCAGAGTCTAGCGGCGAGATCAGTCAAAGAGAATTATTTATCGTCCGACGAGGAAAACCTAGAGAACTTAATATCCATCCGTCCGGAAGCGCCGCAGCCGAAGTTGGACGTGCAAATTGTAAGGTCCGAGGACGACTTAAAAGACAAGGAGCAGCCGAATTCTGGACACACGTCTCCGAAATCCGTAAATATTAAACAAGTTGGATCTCCGCAAAGACCGGACGGTCACTTTACCGGCAAGAAACTGCACACTATGAGCACGCAGATTCGTTATGTACATACGAATAATATCAATCAACGACACATTGGATCACTTTTAAGCAACTTTGCTCTTGATAAAACTGTGCAGACGAAATATCCAGGATTCACATCAGCCTTTTCTACAAATCTTGAAGATTCCATGCAAAAGAAGGTGATCGATGAAGCATCGAAGAATGAACAACAGATGGAATCGAAGAGTCAAAATGAGAGAAAATCTAACGATTCGAATAATATGTCGAACAACAATCGATCTCATTTATCTGTAAAATCTCAAAGACTTTCAAGAAAAAGAATTTCAAGTAGCGATCAGGAGCAAGCGGATCTCGCAGAGACACTAAACAAGATCGCAGACAAGGAAATGGAGATGTCTATGAACCAGCTGCAAAATACTGGTCATAAAACACTGGCTACTGATCTTTCGAATTCTTCTGAATTTACGCAAAGGGATCAATCTCGTTATAAAGATGAGGAAGCGCAGGAGGAAGCGGAACGTTACGAAGAGCCACACGTTAATTACGAGGACAAAGGCGTTACACGTGCCGAGTTCAACCAATCAACTAATAGCGAATCAGTCAAATCGACCAATGAAGATTCGGGCGACAATAATAATACCTTTGACCCAAACGTGAAGGACGATGATCCGAGCAAGAAAGGCATTATCGATGGCGATTATATACGATTACCCGGCGATCCTTATCCTTACAGCAGGGAAAATATAGAAAAATGGCGCGTGCCACCTACCAGAAATATCATCTATAAGTCGTGGAAGCGAGAAATGTCCCGCTCTTCCGATTCTTCCACCGTCTTGCAGTCAACCCTGAGATACGCTAATGACGCGTACGCAAACGCCGCCGGGGAGCCGCGTGATTCTCACGTCGGTGATGCGGTAATGGAGATTTCAGGAAGTGGCGGCGATGGCGGTGCAAGAAAGAGGACGGGACAGGCGAACGGATTCCGCGTGTCCTCTCGGGATCAGCGGGTGGTGTCTGATTGCCTGCGTGGCGACGCCGCGGATATGCTGGGGCTGCGGCAATGGACGGAGGCCTTTTCGCGGCTCGACGAGAAGATGAACGAGGCGGCGCGAAGCGACCCTGCGCATTACGAGTAGTTCGCGACGGAACTTAAGTTCCGGTGCGCGTGCACCTTTGCATAATTCAGTTCTCTCTTAATTAGGACGGGCTCGACTTGCTGCGACGTAACGAGCCAGGGTTTCCGCAAGTTCCAATCTTAAATTGCGCTGCAGACACCCCATTTCCGTTTTCTTTCGGTGTTTCAGCGCAACGAATACGAATGTTAAATCGTATTTTTTTCTAATAGTTTATACTACAAATCTTTTATTATCTTCTTGATATTCTCTCTGATGATCTTTTTAAAAGAATATAATGAAAAATTTATTGTTGGTACATGCATAAATGAGAAACAATATGTGGAACTAAAAAGTTTGAAAAATTCACACATTTGCAAAAAAATTGTAGATATCTTCCATTATAACTCAAATTCGCGAGGATTATGATTTAAGATTATAAATCATAAGAATAATTTCAAATTATTAAAAAAGACAAGAAAACGAAAAAATGTGTGGTTTAGACCGTTGTATTTTTTACAAATATCACAGTAAATAATAAATAATTATCACATAAAAATTTAAGATTATACTATAATGTAGAATATTTTTCTATATATAAATGTAATAAATATATATGTATTAATAATCAATTTTCGTAAGGTTGCAGAAATTGACAAAAATATCGAAGCAATGAAATGAGTGATTTAATAATTCTTTTCGTTTTTATAAGATATTTTATTTAATGATAAAATTACTTCACGGCTCAATATTGTTTAAATTCTTCGACTTAATCGGATTCGCATAAATAACTTCCATTGTTCCATCCGGTATGACTTCTTTACGTGCATGCCCTCCGCCTCTTGAAATTATTCTCCACTCCCATAAACACGTTCGCCTTCTCGCACTTACGATTAAAAGCGGATAGGGAATCAAGCGGGGCCGTATTCACGAAATTACCGTATACGGCGCGCGGTTAGTTCGCCTTAAGAGCTTTTTTGATCCTCGAGACGATCGGGCATTAATCCCCGGCCAACGCACCTGTCGAGAGGCAACAGCAGGAGGAAGGAGGGAGGAGGAGGAGGAGGAGGAGGAGGAGGAGGAGGAGAAGAAGGAGGATAAGGTTGGAGAACGGCTAGGTCGTTCAATCAGACACGTGTACTTACGTGTACACCGACATGCATCCCGCATGGACTCTCGGCTAAGCTTCTTCTTCGGCTAAGCGGCCGAACTATCGACCTGCCGCGCCGGGATATACGTGCCTACCGGTCACGAAGACCCGGAGGCTGTTATTTGACCATCGGTGAGATCACCGAATCGTCGATCCTCTGTCTGATCGTTCAAATCGCAGGCGTCCTGCCGGCGTCTAATCGGCATTGCGTACACATTGCGTCCAGTCCATCCTTCGACGAGGGAGTGGACTCTCCTCTTTGAGTCGCGAGCAACAGGGAGAGACTCGAATACGGCTGCCACATCGCACTATCGCGATACTGGAGCATCGGCTACCATATTGTGCTACTATCATCGCCCGATAATGCCCGCAGGTAATGGCAGACCCCGTGGCCCTGATTACCTTCGCGCTTGTGGAAGACACGCGGACGTAGTTTAGCCTCGGTTACAGCAGCTGGTTGTGCCGTGCCGTGCTGTGCCACTTTCCTGACCGCTCACCCGCCGATCCTCCTGTCATTTGCTCCTGCGGACGTTCCGCGTGCGCTCTTCCGCGGACGTTGCTCGCGTCTAACGGAATACGAATAATGAGCGTTGAATGATGCCGGTCGAGTTAGAGGATCCGACGTGCGGCTCAGTGTCCCGCCTCCTTGTCGAGGTGATCAGAGACTAGCCGTGTGCATTTTCTCAGCGATCGAGTTGCTGTGATCGTCAGTCCAGACGATCAAATCTTGCCTCGAGATAATTTTATGCGATATCTGCCGTACCAAATTATATTTTTAATCCTGGAATCCGCATGGAATCTAAAGTCTACAATATCCTGTTTGCTTCCTGTTTCTTGCTTCTTAAATCTCTTGCCTTTTTCCCTCTTTGCGATCGTTTTATCGGCAACCATGTTTCTTACTCATGTGTTTCTATCTCTTTCGAAATTCGTCAACTTTTATATCTTGGACAGTAGAAAGTGAGGAAACAGGATAAGAGTAAAAAGGCAAGAGTTAAAAAATGATAAAATTGAGGCAACAAACAGAAAACAAAGACCACATTGTGAATCAGGCTTAATACGATCATTAAAATCATACTTAGTGCATCCATTTCTTCAGTGAAGATTCCATATAACTGACTCCTCAGATTCTATTCTTGTTACGTGATTGAAGTTTGGAGCGTTCTTGTTTCTTTTTTCCTCATAAATACAAGAAGAAACGTCCTTTAATAATAGACGGCGTTCGCAAATTTATTATTTCCAAATAACTGACAGAGGATTTTGTAATCTCGTATATCAATTGTATCGGTGTAAGATCAGAACTATTAAACTTTCCGTTAGGAGGACGCAACACAACGCAGCACAACGCAGCACAACGACGAAGTCGAGGCAGGATTGGCATTGGTAGCAGACGTTGCTTTTATTTACGACTAGATTCCGCTGACTGCTCTCCGGGTTCGCTCCTCCTTGACCCTCTCCTCTCGTTCCTGCCGAGGTTAGAATGATCCTATCTATGCGAGACGTAGCCGCGGATCATTTCCTTCGGGGTCTTCTGCACTATAAAAGATCGCCCTATGGTTGTATATTACTCACGCCACCGTGTTTTCACTTGGCACGGCGATCGGCGCCGATATCATAACTCCTTGTCGTACCGCCGTTCAACCAGCAAATCTACCCGGCGACGAGGCCTCCTCCTGGTAGCGATAGCAATTCTGATATAACCGGCAGCCGTTGTAAGACGAGGACGAACATCACCGGCATATAAAACGAAGGTCTCGTCGGCTAGCCTCGAGCCTTATCGCGTCTAAGTGTGACGAATTTTTTTACATTTTGCAGGCTTGATACAACAATTTCGAACTTATACGTCAACTGATATTGTTGATTTCATTAATAGTCATTAACGTTTTGTACACCAGTGGTAATTAATTGTTTTTCTTATTATTATATTTATTTTTAATAAAATAAGCAGCTTATCAATCACCGAAGTAAATACTGAGAAAAATATGAAGAGAAATATTGATAAAAAAAGAGGACGTTTGAGGTGAGATTAAATTATGTTGAGACTTCATAAATGCACGTTATTCACACGAAGAATTTGATCTCTTGGAAAATTCGTGTTTAACATTCTAATAATGGAACACCTCGTAAATATGTCGCGACGCTTCCGGTAATGGAAGGTCACCCGGGAAGTGAGTGAAAATTCCACAATGTTAACGCCGTTTCACACATTGAGCTATAATCCGGGACGCTGCGACCATCCGCGGCATCCGAGACACCGAAATAGATGGTTTACAGCCTCCCTTAAATACGTCAACGTTTATGCGTGGATTCCCGAAAGTAAATCGACGAAGAATGTTTTCGTATGACGGCGGCCCCGTCACGAGCCGAAGCCAACTTAAACGCCGAGAAGCCAAGCAGCCTACCCTCCATCCGAAGCGAAATCGTTGGTTATTATTAATAACGCGAAGAGCGTCTTTGTTTACGATGTCACGGTCTTTTACACGTGTGGCTTTATGATACACCGATGCGGTTAGTCTTGTTCGTTTTGGCTTGCAGCAACTATGTGAATAATAATTATTTCGACGTTGAAAGATTGACATGATAAATATAAATCATCATTCTAGATTTAATGCTATAGGAATATATTAAAATTATTTAACAGATATTATATATATTCCTAGCTTTTTCTTGAGCACCAGTAATAATGATAATGATATAATGATAACGAAATAATCCTTTTTTTACCAGAGGATCAATTATTATCTTTAATCGAGGTAAAAATTATCAAATAAACGAATTTACTAAAATATATATATTTATGGTTTTATCGATCAACACTTAAGTAAGTTTGTAATTTTCTCACTTTTGTAATTTTCATCTTGTTTCAAGATACATAATACAATCGACTCTCAGAAGCGCGTCCGAAAAAAAAAACCTATCCGAGTGTCTCCGAGTATAACTTTATTATCTTTGTTTAACATTTAGAGAGCAATAAGGATAAAATGATGTTCAAAGGCACTTCGGTTAGTGTTTTCGAACGCAGTTCGCGGAAGAGAACTTCATATACGCTTGCTTATCAAGCTTTATCCGAAGCATTGCGCGTGTCCAGAACTGCAGATGACAACTGTTCTCCAAGTTTTCACCCTGCTCTCTAGGATATGCCCTCAGGTGGTGGACAGAGGACTAAATAACGAATGTCGCCCACTCGAATCTCACAGACATGAGACGACGTGATTCCGCTCGAATGGTCATGCCTCGAGTGGGGTGCAAGTCACCCCGCGATCGTTCGCCGCAGATCGCAACCGTCCATAGTGACACCACAAAAAATCACGGCGCCGCTTTCCGACCGGATATCTTTCAATTACACGTTAATATGATAGGCGGCGGGCGTAGGTGCAAGTCACCGCCGCGTCGTTGCTCGCAACATGCGCACCATACATGCATACACATACGTATATACACACACACGTGCCACCCACACATACGTCAGCGTATGCGATCGAGAAGTCCGATGTGCGTGTACGCGTGTGATTAATCGACGTCAACCGCAGACCACGGCGCGAGTCTCGTCGAGGGAATCGCTCGGGAATCGTTTCGTTGACACGTCGATTCGCGGTTTACGCGCCCCGAAATACCCACCGCGCCGCGCCGCCCAGGACGAAATTTATATTGCGTTGGACACGCAAAGATCGTCAGTGCGAAATGTTTGCGTTACGCGAGGCGATACGGCGGTTAAACGTGGTTGCTACATAATCGTCGGGCACGCTGTAGCCTAATCGTGTTCTGGTAGGCAGCCAACTTCTGTGAGGTTTCCACATTGGAGTGTTTTTTCAATCGTGATGTCATAGGGTTGCACGTACAAAGTGAAATTTACACATATGATCTAGGCAGTCATGAATGCCGACTTAATTTTATGGCGACCGCGTAACGAGGTTAAGAAAACTAATATATTTCAGAAAGAGAGAGAGAGAGAGAGAGGGAGGGAGGGAGGGAGGGAGGGAGAGAGAGAGAAATAAACCAGTTTCATCGAACATTAAGAAAAATGTTCTTGTTAAACCAACTAGAAGTACAAATAAAATGCATTCTAATCATACCAGTCAGAATTCTGATTATTGTAAGTGACTTTCTAGTTATCTCGATTAGAATATTTGATAGATTTAACTATTTTACAAGGTAGATATTTATAATCCGCGCTGAAAAGAATATCTGGTTGAAAATGAATGAACCAGAAGATTCTGATTATATCAATTACAATTTCAGTTATTGTAAATAGAATAGTAGATTTAATTAGAAAATTCTAATTTGTTTATTTTCAACCAAATCCCAATTAATTAAACCAGACTCTAAA